AGCAAATTAAGCCTGAACTGTTGGTAGAGGCAAAAATGATAAAACTTTGGGCACATCATGAGAAGGCAGGATTCTTTGGAAAAGATAATAATGTTGTGAAAAGTAGAGGCAGCAGGAAAAGATGAAGACCAAATATGAGATGGATTGACTCCATAAAGGAAGCCACAGGCATGAGTCTACAGGAGCTGAGTAAGGCTGTTGAGGACAGGACGTTGTGGACATAACTCATTCTTAGGGTTGCCAGGAGTTAGAGCTGACTTGATGGCATGTAACAACAAGCGCTGGTGAAAATGTGGAGAAATTGGAACTCCTGTACCTTGCTGTTGAGAATGTGAAATGGTGTAGCTACTGTAGAAAACAGTTGGGCAGTTTTTTCAAAAAGTTAAACATAGAATTATCATATGATCCAACAATTCCATTCCTAGGTTTATATATAAGGGAATTGAAAACAAGTATTCGAACAAATACTTGTACACAAATGTTTATAGCTGCACTATTTACAAGAGCCAAAAAGTGGAAACAACCCAAATATCCATCAACAGATGAAAGGATAACAAAATGTTGTATAGTCATATGATGGAATATTATTCAGTCCTAAAATGGAGTGAACTACAGATACATGCTATGATGTCAATGAACATTGAAAACATTAAAATCAGAGAAAGAGTCAGACACAAAAGTTCACATATTGTGTGGTTTCATTTATAGAAAATATCCAGAATAGGTAAATTGATAGAGAGAGAAAACTGACTATTGGTTGTCAGTGGCTGGGGGGAGGGAGGAATGGGAAGTGACCACTTAGCGGGTACAGGGTTTCCTTGTGCGGTGATAAAAATATCTTGGAATGATATAGAAGTGGAGGTTGTGAATGTACTAAACACCACCAAATTATACACTGTAAAATGCTTAATGGTTAATTTTATCTTATATTAATTTTACTCAGTAAAAGATAAATAAATAAAAGCAGTATTTTATCCACACTAAGCTAAATATTAGTCCAGGAAGATGACTGGACTAGTTGGTGAATTCAAATTATGAATTGGTTGAGGATATTTGAACAATCACTCTTTACTGATTTATTATGATAAGGCTAGAGGCAGAAAAAGGCAATAAAGTTAGACGTAAAGAGAATGCTCAATGTTCCAGTGGTCCAGAGAGAACCTTAAGCAGAATGCTTAAGATATGTTGACTTGGATTCTGGAAATAAAATGAATAAAATAATAAAATTGATCTAATCTCTAACAAAAAATTTTTAAAAAATCAAATAGCCTCACACACTTGCTTGATTGAGCCAGTGGTGCACTAGAGCCAGCTTGAAGAGTGAGTTGTTTTATTTTTTTCAGGAAATTTGAAAGGTGGCAGTTATAACACAAACATTATTAAAAATCAACCATGTAAACTTACAACTAAGTAAATTACATTAAAAAGAAAATATTAAATACTCAAAACTCCTCACTTACATATTGTACTATATTTTATTATCTGTTTTTGAGATTATTTACATCTTTTGTATCAGTATGGTTTAAATGCTACACAATTTAAACTGTGCTACTGCTCATATCTTCCCAGTTCTGCATTGAAAGATAGCCAAGGTGGGAGTATTAAACAATGGAAATAAGCAAATATCATAAATTTAAAACTTCAATTTATTATTTTGTTGATTGTTCAAGCTAAGGAATGATGGAAAATGTTAATAATGTAGACTAAACATAAATGTGTATTGTCTGCAGTTATTACTTTATGAATAGCCAAAAAGAAATATACTTTTAGTATTCAAAAACAACTATCCAATTAAACGTAGCATTCACTGCAATGGCAAATGAAAGAAGTTCCAACACATGCCTTTGTTGTTTCACTTTTGTCATTTTTGTTAACGCAAATAAAAATATCAGCAAACATTCATATGAGAGCTACACTTACTCAACAAGTGCAACCATGGGTTGGTTATGGATAGAAGAATATTGCAAAAATCAACAAAAGCATCAATGATACTCTTCTATGTGTATCCATTGGCTACATGGAATTTACAATGAAGAGTGTGGTATATTTTAGTTTTATCTGTAAATTTTGTTTACAAAGTCCTGACATTAGTAAAATTTATAATAAACATTCATTTTTTTTTTTTTTTGAGGAGGGATTTGTAAAGTATTTACCTGAAAAACACTGGAATGAGCTATCTTTCTTAAATTTGAAATGCTCGATTTCATATTAGGACTGGTTTCTGTGGGGAGTTAAGAGCTAAGAGCTTTCAGTGATCCCTGGAGGTTCCTTCCGTTAAGTCAGAGTTTGAAACTTGTCCTTATGTGGGAGCCCTTAGGAACCTGCTTGCCTAAGTTTGCTTCTGTACCTAACACCCCACCCAATTTTCTGACCAAGGACACGAAACTTCACAGAGAACTCATATTATCCAACTTGAGGGCAGAACAGCTACATAAGTTTTTTGGAATTCTTCTGCACGTGAGATTTGTTTCTTTTGCCCCATTTATTTATTTCTTCATTCAATCTTTTATATCAATATGGATTCGTGGATATTTATTTTACACTTTGGGTTGTAATCCAACACTAATTTATTCATTTTGTTGCTCGGATTGTCCCAGCTTTGGCATTGGGAGCTCTTTCAGTTGGCTTCTTCATCCCTTTAATGTACCCACATCAACAAAGAGTTTTTGTTTTTTTGAATACTATCTTACTTTCTGGCACTACTCCAGGCTCATTTTGTATATTTCCTGCTCCAGTTCTTAAATTAGCCATTTCTCCAAGGAGTCCCGGTTCCTTTTATTGGAGAACTTGATTAGAAACCAAGCTCTGGACTCTAGGTGTGTTTGTTGCTACTGCTTTCAGGACCTCTCAGCTGACAGAGCAAGGAAACATATGTGTATACTAACATGTGTATATATACACATCTACAGATATTCCTATATGTAACCATCTGTATCCATGTTAAATTAAACATGATTTCCTACTGATACCTCCAACTCAATTTCATTATTGCATGGATCATTCTAGCCTCCTCTCACTTCTTATCTGTAAACTTTCACTCCAGCATTGAGAAACCTGACTCTCACCATCTGCCATCCATTTATTAATTGTTCACTTCCAGTTCACATGCATCCGGTGCACATGAATAGTAGTATCAGAACCAATACACTATGTGACACAACTTTATCAACTAGAGACTTTAAAATGTCACTTATTTCTAAAGTTATCTAGTTTGCACCTTCTTCCCCACTCTCTTCAGTGTGTCTGTTTCATACACTTCAAATAGTTGGATTGTTGTCACCTTCTTCATTCCAAACTGGGAGACCCCACTATCCTAATTCATTATTTTTTAAATTTCCTTATATTAAGGTTCACTCTTTATGCTCTAAAATTCTATAGGTTTCTAAAACCTATAGAATACATATTGTCACTTATAGACCATTATAGTATCGTTCTGAATAATTTTATTACCATAAAAAATCTGCTGTGCTTCACATGTTTAACCCTTACCTCTTTCCGCTGGCAACCACTAATCTTTTCACCATCTCTGTAGTTTTGCCATTACCAGAGGGTCAAATAAATGGGATCAAACAGCATGTAGCCTTTTCCGACTGGCTTCTTTTACTTATAAATATACATTTGAGATTCATCCATGTCTTGTGTAGTTTAATAGCTCATTTATATTTACCAATGAATAATATTTCATCTTATGGATGTACCAGACTTTTTTACCCATTGACTTATTGAAGGACTTATTGGCTGCTTCCAGTTTTTGGTAATTATGAATAAAGCCGATATTGACATTCATGCACAGATGTTCATGGGTACATACATCTTCAAATGTTTGGATAAATACATAGGAGAGCAATTACTGGATCACGTGGTAAGGCTATGTTTAGCTTTGTAAGAAGCCTTTAATGTCTTTCAAAGTGGCTTTACCATTTGGAATTACCACTAGCAGTGAATGAAAGTTTCTGTTACTCTGCATTCTCACCAGCAATTGGTATTATCAGTTTGTTCAATATTAGCTAATCTACTGGTATGTCGTGTTGTTTTAATTTGTGATTCTCTAATTATAAATAATGTTGAGTATCTTTTCATATGCTTCTTTCCACCTAATATCTTCTTTGGTGATATGTTTGTTCAGATTTTTTGCCCATTTTTCACCTGTGTTGTTTGTTTTTGCATTGTTGAGTTTTGAGTTCTTTGTATATTGTGGATACAAGTATTAAATGCATGTTTTTCAAAAACTTGCTCTTATTCTATGGCTTGTCTTTGGATTCTCTTAACAGTGTATTTCACATAGCAGAAGTTTTAATACATATTGTCACTTATAGACAATATGTATTAAATATGTTTAATAAGTACAACTTTTCTTTTTTTTTCTTTCTGGATAGTGCCTTGGTGTTGTATCTAAAAGTATATTGTAAAACACAAGGTCACCTATAGATGAATAAAGATAAGAATTATAGTAGACTTCTTACCAGACACCATTCAAGCAAGAAGCAAGTGGAGTGAAATATTGAAAGTGTTGAAAAAACTATTGACCTACAATCCTATTTACAATCAGATTTTTCTTCAAGACTGAAGGAGAAATAAAGACTTTCTCAGAGAAACAAAAGCTGAGATATTTTTCACCAGCAGATTTTCCCTGCAATCAATGATAAAAGATGTTTTAAAGGAGAAGGAAACCACATAATCAGAAACTTTGATTTACATCAAGAAGGGAATAATATCAGAGAAGGAACAATTGAAGGTAAAATAAAGTCTATTTTACTTATTGTTAAAATTTAATGGTTTGTTTAAAGTAATAATAATACAATGTGCTAGGTTATTATAGCATATGGATAAGTGAAATGAATGACAGCAACGTCACAAGGGATGGGAGGGAGGAATTGGGGAAACTTTGGTATGAGTTATATGAACTCAAGTGAAGCAGTATAGTATTATTTGAAGGTGAACTTCGATTACTTGAAATATATATTTTAAACTCCAGAGCAACCACTAAAATATTTTAAAAGAATAATTTATTTCTGGAATCCGGTTCCATGCGGTTCTCCCCCCGCCCCGCCGCGGGTCCCAGCAGCTCGGGCGGCGGGAGGAGCGGCCGCGGCAGCACAGCTTCGCGAAGGCTCTGGGCGCGCGGCGGCCCGCAGGCACCCGGCACGCGCCCGCCCCGCCACTGCAACGCCCAAGAGGAAGGTGAGCTCCGCCGAGGGGGCGGCCGGGGGGGAGAAACCCGCTCCTGCAAAAGTGGAAGCGAAGGCCAGAAAGGCGGCGGGAAACGATGACTCTTCAGACAAAAAAGTGCAAACAAAAGGGAAAAGGGGAGCAAAGGGAAAACAGGCCGAAGTGGCTAACCAGGAGACTAAAGAATTACCTGCAGAAAACGGAGAAACTAAAAACGAGGAGAGTGCAGCCTCTGATGAAGCAGGAGAGAAAGAAGCCAAGTCTGATTCATATCATATACCATGTCTTATCGGTGGCCCCTGTCTCCCTTCTTGTACAATCCAGAGGAATATTTTTATCAACTATTTTGTAAATGCCAGTTTTTTAGTAGCTCTAGAAACATTTTTAAGAAGGAGGGAATCCCGCCTCATCCCATTTTTTAAGTGTAAATGCTTTTTTTTAAGAGGTGAAATCATTTGCTGGTTGTTCATTTTTTGGTACAACCAGAAAATAGTGGGGTATTAAATACGGGAGGCTTTGATTGTCTTGGGTGTCAGCTTAACATTCCATAGATGGGGGTAGTTTTTATATCCTATAATACAAAGCATACTAAATGGCAATTTGGAGTCAGTCATGCATTTAATATGTCTTGAAAATTTTTAATTAATTCTATTCCCATGTTATTTTTGGTAGAAGTGTTTCCTAAAGAAAACCACTCCTTGATCTTGCCTCTCCCTGTCAGAATTTTGTGCACTCTATAACATCTTTGGTCGTGGTAGTCCAGTTTTCCTAGTAACTTTGTTAATGTGCTGTGAAAGATTGAAAATTATGATATGTAGTGTATATGATATTAAATTGTGAATTAATGGGACTTAATGATGTAACAGGTGTCAACATTTGAAGATATTGGTACTTGATATCCTGTTAAGGGAAATTTGCCTCCAAATTTTAAGCTGGAAAGTCACTGGAATAACCATTTAGAAAAGAATCACAACTACATGATTTTTTAGATTTTTGGTATGTATGTTAAGAATTGTGTACAGATTGAAATGTCTGTGCACTGATTCTCAAAACAATCAATAAAATCTCAATTATGAAACGAAAAAAAGAATAATTTATTTCTAAGATAGAGGAGAAAATATGAACATATAATATGCTTGTTATGGGCTGAATTATGTCTGCTTCAAAATTCATATGATGAAGTCCAAACCCCAGTAACTCAGAATGCAACTACATTTGGAGATAGGGCCTTTAAAGAGATGTTTACACTAAAATGATGCTGTTGTTAGGATGGGTCCTCTTCCAATCTGACCCATGTCCTTGTAAGAAGAGAAAATTTGGACACAGAAAGAGGCACCAGGGATGCATGTGCACAGAGGAAAGATCATGTGAAGACAGTGAGAAGGTGGCCATCTGCAAATCAAGGAGAGAGGCCTCAAGAGAAACCAGACCTGCTCACATCTCAATCTTGGGACTTCCAGCCTCCAGAACTGTGGGAAAATAAATTTCTCTTGTTTAAACAACTCAGCATTAGGTTTTTTTATTATGGTAGCCCTAGAAAACTAATACAATGCTCAATTAAAACCAGAGAAGGGAGGAAAACAAGAGAAGACAAAATGGTCTGCATACACCAAAAAAAGACTGATCGTCACAGTGGATTAAAAAATAAGACAAATGTTTATTGTCTACAAAAAATCCACTTTAATTGTCAAGATTCAGATAGATTAAAAGTAAAGGAATAAAAGAAGCTCTATCATTGCTAACATTAATCAAAAATAACCTAGAGTAGTTATATTAGTTTCAGACAAAGCAGACCTCAGACCAAGAAAAATTTTTAGGGATAAAGAGGGGCATTACAAAATGATAAAGACATAAATTCTCCAATGAGAATAACAATCCTAAACATGTATGCACCTAATAACAGAGTGTCAAAATCTGTAAGATATAATGGATAGAACTTCAAGGAGAAATATATGAACCAATTATTATGGATGAAGACTTCAACATCTTTCTTTCAGTAATTGATAGATCAAATAGGAAGAATATCAACAAGGATACAATTGACCTGAACAGCACTATCAATCACCATGACCTATTTATTGACATTTTTCCTCAAAGTTTTGACTTCCTTTTCAAAATATACATTTTAATATCAGAAGACTCATGTACCCTCATTCCATAAATATATTACTTATTTGTACTTCCAGATTGTTGTGTATTAAGCTTATGAGATAATTTTTTTCTTCTGAGATCATTCTTCACAAAACTCCCTGATATCCTGTTGTAATTTCATTTTATTGCTTTCTAATGCTTGTATTTCTAATTTTACTATTCTTTGCATAATTTACAAGAAGATATATCTGATTAAATTTGAAAGAATAAGTGGAAAACACATTTTAGTAATACTTGCAAGTCTGAAATTTTATTATTTTGTCTTCATTCTTAAAAGAAAGTTTGACTGGCACTACATTCTAGGTTCAAATCATTCAGTAGAACTTGATAAACATTGCTTATGGTCTTCTAGCATCTAGTGTTGATGGTGTCTGAGTCATATTTCCCCTTTTTATCTCTATTAATTTTTAGGATTTTCTTTTGATTTTCTATAACATTAAGATTTTAACTGAACATGATGTTTTACAACTTTTGTTACTTGTATTTCACAGAGTCTTTCAAAGTAAAGAGCAAAGCCTTTATTCAAGTAAGGAGATTGTTTTCTGTTATTGATTTGATTTGATCCTACATCCCATGATCTCAATTCAGTCCTCTTCGAACTGTGGTTACACGTATATTGGACCTTGTTCATCTTATCCTTGCCTGTATTAGAGGATGAAAGGTTGGAATGCTTTGTTTTTCTCTATAGTTGTGCAGGTTTGTTTCCCCTGTAGATATCTTCCCTGGATTTGGATATTCTGAAAATCAACAGGACACGTCAAGTCATAGTCTTCCCTCTAAAGGAGCTGTAAGGCAGCGAGGCAGGGTTGGCTAGCATAGCTGCCAAGGTAATTATGAGTTCCTGGGTTTTTCTCCTTCTCCTCCTTCACTTCCCTGTCCTCCTCTGCCATCTCCTCTTCTTCCCCACATCCTTTTTCTTAATTTTTTTCTTGTTTTCACTGTCATTTTTTGAGAGGGCCACTAAACATGTGCTCCAACATCTATTTTGAATCAGAGGTCTTCACTGTCTTACTTTAAGCCATGTAGTTGGAGCCCTCATGAGAGAACTTTAAGGTATTTTGCATATCTACTTCACATTTTCATTGAGGAAGTTCTCTTGGGCCAGCCCCTTAGAGTCTAAAAATGGATCAATGTGTTCTAGGGTAATGTCTATGCCCTTGACTGATTACGGCAATGTAAAACCAGCAAGTGTACTGTATACAGTATGAAATGTCACATAATTTTAGTACCATAACATGCCAGCCATACCTTCTAGGGTAGTGGTTGTTTTTGCCAATTATGGCTATGCATCTTGCTTTTGATGGTATTCACTAGGATTAGCCTTTATGATTTCTATATCATACTATAAAAATCAGTTTATATTTTATCTGATTTAATTCATGAAAGAATCAGGGGCAATAGTATTCCTATTTTGCAGAAAGAAAACAAGAAAACTGGTCTATTGAATCCAAAATTCATATCCTACCAATACAGCACTTTATTGCCCCTTCATATCTGAGTCATTACGATGGAGCCAAAATACATTCAAGACCACTGGTGAGAAGGGTTAATGGGTCAGCCTAAATAAAATACTACATTTTTTGTGGATTTTTTAAAGAATTAATGAAGAAATAACCATGAAATTAATTCACAAAAATCTATGCAACAGTCTCATCTGTTTTTATTAAGTGAAATTTCAAGCTATTTAGAAAAACAGCCAAAAAAAAAAAATTGCTAGAGAAGGAGGCTGCTTTATTGTAAAGAAAAAAACAGAAAAGATATTGTCTTGAGTGAAGCAGTTCTACCCAATCCTTTCCCTACAGCTCTACCAGAAAAGCATTCAAAGGTTAAATGTTCCCTAAAGCTGGATAGGATAAAAAGGAATCTTCATAATAGGCTAGAATCATCCATGCAGCATGTACATGGGTACCAGCAACAGGCCCAAAGGGGAAGAAGCACAAGGAAAATAGGAAGCACAGAAGTTGTATGTAAGAAAAAAAAGTAGTGTTTTAATTTCTGGTTGGAAATCAAAACCTTGAAATTAGTAATATATGTTATATTTAATTGGATCTATAGCTTAAACCTTTTTATAAAACACGCTGGTTCTACAGTCCAAACCATAAGGGGTAAATATTGAGAGTGCCTTAACTCTTTAATTAAATAAAACCTAATTGCATTTTATTCAGTGACACTTGAATATATTGATATTTTGAAAAAAAGAATCATATGTCACTGAAGCACACAATTTCATCATTTGATATTTGGTATTTTTTACAGGTGTCGATATAGATAAAGCTAGTCAAAAAATTAGATAGAAGGAAAAAAACCTATGTTTTTAGTGGCTGTGTGTGTATTTTTTTTTTCTGGATGAATTGTGAAAACCTATTCTCTTCTGTCATAGAATAGAGTTTTAAATTGTAATGCTTTCTTCCCTCTCATTATCCAACTGTGAAAATATATGTTTGTCTTATCCACAAAATGTAGGATAGGGAAACTTTGTTTAACACACAGTGATTACATAGTAAAACATTCTGCCTCCATTTAAACAAAAGAGTAAAGTTGCCAAGTCATTTAGTAAAGACAACCAGAGTCATTAAATTAGAAACAGCAGGGGCGGACATATAATCATATACCACCACTAGAAAAGGAGGAGACAAATGAGGAGATTTGTTTAGAAAAGTAGTTGATCCAAAGCAGAAGGAAAACTCTAGAAAAAATAGTTTATTTTTAAATATAGAAGGGACAGTTGTTATGAAAACAAGAAAGCATGAGACCAGGTGATTTCAAGTGCCTTTCTTAGGACAGAGCTTTCTTAGGCAGTAGTGAAGTTGTTTCAACATGCCAGCAACAGCATTTTTATTACTTTTGTTCTAAAATGGAAGTTATAATAGAGATTTTAAGCTTACAAAAATCTGTAAAAAATTAAAAAATAATATATGTTTAGTACATAGAAGACTTTATTTACATTTATTTTTGTTCATTGCCTTGTTTTATATTAGGGAATTTATGAAATTTAAAAGCAAATTAGTTACTGTTTATTTTAGTTATATGTAAAGTTATATTTCTTTATATAATGCTAATGAGAGTAACGTGGAATATCCTTTGGGTGTTAATTTTCCATGCTCCAAAGATTTATTGTTTAAACTAAATTATATCATCCATTATGTCACAACCTAACACTACTATCAATCCCCCCATAACAGAAACTAACTGGCAACGGTTATGTGTACAAAATATTCTTTGAGATGAACTTTAGGACCTCAGTCTTTGAAAGGAACATCACATTTCCATCATCTCTTTGAGATTATTCTAACTCTGAACAATTGTGCATTTCCTCAGGTTAATCTATATTCTTTGCTTCCTCAAATATTTATTGCATACTTAAGGATGTGCCAGGTACTATGCTCCATCTCCATTTCTCATTGCTCTTCAACAGTTAGTTCATGAAGAGAGGCTGATCTTATCCAATAGGCAATGTGATAGCATTGGTGAATCTATTAAGGTACA